CCATGAGATGACAAGGATTGATTGATGCACTAAAGATGGGTCTGCCGTCCTGCACGAGAAGTCCCCGTGTCCCCGGAGGGATGTTGGGGTCCCCCAAAAGTAGCCTGAGCCTAAGGGCAGAGCACAGCCCCAGCCACAGCGCAGAGCGCAGGGCACGGAAATAGCACTGGCACCCTCATGTGGTCGCCGCCATCAGCGTGTGCTCTAGGCCAAAACCAGATGTACAGCAAGGCTGGAGAGCACTGGGGACACCAAGACACGAGGGCTCCTCCAAGGACGTCTTTGGAGGAGGAGAAGGTGGCCCGGGAGGGGCTCGGGCCTCCTAGTCTTGCCCATCCTGGATCTGCAGGAACCCCTTTCTCTTCACATAACTTTTTTTTTTTCCTATGCATTCCAAGGCCAAAAATCAACAAAATCTACTCGGTCAACCCAAGGCCTCTCCTTTCAGAGCAAAAAACGACACCGACGGGATAATGCAAGAGAGACAGCGGTGTCAGATTTCAGTACAGACCATGGGGACACAGAGCAGCAGGTCTATTTGTGACACCCTGAGATAGGACCTGGGTCAAAAGGAAAGGTTTGCTCGTGACGAGAAGGCTGGTGGCTCCTCTCTAGGAGGGCAGAGGTGTCAGGGTGAGATCCCGGAGCACAACTGGGCCCCGGGCAAGCACAGCGATGGCTCCTGCAAGGGCCACCAGGCTGTGGGGACAGTGAGGAGCTCCCTGGGGACCGCGGACATGGCAGAGGGGCCCCGGAGAGCAGGAGACAGCTCTGCTGGCGACCTCGGCTCAGCCGGACACCAGCATCATCCTCCACACGGCACGGGTGGGAAAACACGTTATTCCCCACACAAAGCGGGTGGAAAAGCCGTTATTCTCCACACAGAGCCGTTATTCTCCACACGGGGAGGGCGGGAAAAGCCGTTACTCTCCTCACAGAGCGTGAGGGAACTCCCTTCCTCCCCGTATTTCGCCCCAACACACACACTTTCCCCACACGAAAACATTAAAAACAAGGGTTTTTTCCCCCCTCTCCCTT